CCGAAAATTACATCCATCTTTGAAATCGACAATATAATCATGCTTTTGACAGCCTCTTTGGTGGTCTGAAATGCCGATTGAGGATCAGCGCATTATTTCGCACCAGAGGGAGTATCCTGAACCTGCTCGACCAACATAATTTATGAGAGCGCATAAACTGAAAGGCGACCTACCTCAATATTCGAAATCAATGAGGTACCTTTATGACCGACGTTCGGGAGAACAGGGTTGCGGCTGCGTGAATCATTCAAGCTAGACTGCTTGTGTATGATATCAACCTTATCCCAATACACCCAGTATTGATTTCGACTCACAGTAACCTTTTTTTATTACACCATGCGTAGCCCAGAAACCGACAGATTTTACCACGGTGACAAAGGATGCATTGACAAGAGTCAGCATTTCAACTTCATGGACATCAGCCACCTACGGCGTTCAGCTGCATTTTTTTTCGTTGGGTGGGAAGAGAAACTGACCTCGAGTCCCCTGATCGATTGGCTTCAATCATGGTGAACAGTTGTTGCTAATCAGTCTGACCGAAGTAGGGCGCACCAAGAAGTTGGAGAAAGGGTGGGAACCACGGAACCGTTGCTGAATAGTTACGACGAAAATGACGAAGAGGTCAGCACGAGATACAATCCAAGGACTGGGATTCGACACCAATCTTATTTAAATACACAACAGGCCATACTGTTGACTGCAAGCCTCAAAGCAATATTGACTCCAGGCGCTAAGCATTGGATGGGCGCCACAGAACTCCGGGAAAAGTAAGGATGTCGAGGGAACGAATTAATGATCTGTAGTAGGGTTGACTCGGAAGTTGACTCGTGGACTAGGTCGAGAACATTCAACTCAATGAGTCAATTCGGCTGAGCTGTAGACGCTGAACTGGTGGATATTAATTTGGTCAAACTACAACCATAGTAATAGTGGTATTATTTGCCAACTTGAACGGATGCGGCCCGGTCTGCTTTTGTCGAAGGAGCTGCAACGATCGCATTAAAAGGAACGACTTGAGGCTCGATTCGGAGTGGCGTTATGGTAGAAACTTTTCATGGTGGCGTGAGAAGCTAGTGGCTGTACCTTTGAGCTTATGTAAAGTCAAGTGGCTGACTAGCGCTGACTCTTCGCGCGCTAAACACTAGTCATGTCACAAAATTCAACCTGCATACAATGTTTGATCTCACTTGAACTACTTGACCAGTCCTCCCGCCTGCGAACGCTGAGAGTAGTCGAGTTTTTGAGTACGATTGTGACAACTGCTGATCGTCAGGATTGTTGCAGGCATACTACATCACTCGCAATTTCATCGGTTCACACATCTGATATACACAGACTGATTGGCTTGTTATGTAGAACACAGAATTCATTTCGCCCCATCTTCCAGTTGCAAGGAGCCTCCGATTTGGTCCAGTCCACTGGTCATTGAATCAAACGGTGCACCTTACTATGCGACATTTGACGGTTTCCATCGCAAGGACAGATGGCAAGAAGGGACAACTTTTTTACAAGGTCTGACAATGGGAGGTTAGGTCCAGATGGCTAAAGGTGTCGAGCGACGAGGATGTGCAGTAAAAGATCACTCACGTCGAACGCATGTGACGAAGATTCGTATTGTAAGTACGACTAGTCCACTTCCAATTTCATGACTAAACAATCGATACGGTGTGCTTACAGTTACTATCTATTGGCTATTTTGATGCATCAGCGCAATCTATCATATCACCCAGTGTATCTTCTCGCACCCCGAAGTTGTTCTTAGACAGGCCCTGGTGGAGTGATTATCAGAAGCTGATAAATGCCACCATGTGTGGGGTTTACATGGCCCGCCGAAGCTGATAATTTGATTCGCCCTGGCAGATGTATAGCCTCGTGTTCGGGTCATGCTTATGTATTATATCTCATATCTCATCACGCATCCTTCTTATACCCTGGTCCGACCCATTGCATTTTGACTCTAATTCCTGTTCGCAATGTCCCAACCACCACATCCCTGGTGGAAATCTGCAACCGTCTATCAGATCTATCCATCATCATTCCTTGACGCGAATGGCGATGGGACTGGCGATCTCGCAGGCATCATCGCCAAACTCGACTATCTCAAGGATCTTGGTGTGGACGTTCTATGGCTTAGCCCGATCTATCGTAGCCCATTGGCCGATATGGGCTATGACATGTGAGCGCTAATCGTCGCTAATCGGTTCTGGTACTTGATGCTCTAACCACCACAGCTCGGATTATGAGGATATCGATTCGCGCTATGGCACACTTGAAGACTGGGACCGCCTTCTCGAGGGCGCGCACGCACGGGGAATGAAGCTCATGTATGTGTTATCCGAACCTCAAACTGTTTTCCAGTGTCAACCCGGGTCTTTTTGACAGGATGGATCTGGTGGTGAATCATACATCCGACGAGGCAAGTCTTCTATCTTTCTAGATTACCTTATGGTTCCTGTTTCCACCAATTACTTACCACTTCCGTGCACTGGTCACATACATATCGCCAGCACGCCTGGTTCACTGCTTCAAAAACGAGCAAAAACGACCCAAAGCGCGATTGGTACATTTGGCGTCCTGGTAAAGTTGTCGACGGGGAAGAACTTCCGCCAAACAACTGGAAGAGCGTTTTCCAGGGTAGGTGCACCTGTTTTCCTTGACTTCCTTGCATGGTGACAGCTGTCGTACCATCTCTCTTGTTGCTTCGTATTTTTCACTGTGCGACAGGCTCCGCCTGGGAACGCGACTCCGCAACTGGGGAGTACTATCTCCACCTGTACGTACCTAAGCAGCCAGACTTGAACTGGGACAACCCTGTTGTGCGGTCTGCTGTCTGGGACGTCATGCGATTCTGGGTGCGCAGAGGGTGTGATGGGTTCCGCGTGCGTACATCTCCCCCCCTATTTTGTTTCAACAAAACAATGGGCATTACCATAGATGGACGTGATCAATTGCATTTCGAAGACGGATGGTCTCCCCGATGCACCTCTGGCAGACCACACGCAGTATTACCAGCCGGCTAGCATGTACTTTGCAAACGGGTAAGTTCGTTCATCTCTACTCAAGAATCACTTGACCTTCCCAGTCCGCAGGTCCACAAATACATCAAACAAATGCACGCCGAGGTCCTCTCCCGTGCGCCCCGTCCTTTTCCCTGTCTTATCCTTATCTGATTAATAAACGGAACTCCCACAGACCACGATCTCATCACGGTCGGCGAAACGCCCTTCACACATGAGTCATCCGAGCTCGCTGCGTACGTCCTTCCGCAAAACCGCGAGCTCAACATGGTCTTTCACTTCGAGCTCATGGATATTGACTCGCCTCCCGAATCGCCACTCCTCAGCAAACCTTGGACGCTCAGGGAGCTCAAGGCAATTATCGGTCGCTGGCAGCGGTTCATGCGTGATGATGGGTTCTGGAATGCGTGAGTTCAGCCTAATATGAAGCTGAAGGTGGAATACTGATATATCATCTCGTTTGGCGTCATTAAAGAGTTTTCATTGAGAATCATGACCACGCGCGGTCGGTGTCACGCTTTGGGAACGACTCGGCGCAGTGGCGTGCAGTCTCCGCCAAGATGCTCGCTATCTTTCAGATCACGCAGACAGGGACACTATACGTGTACCAGGGGCAGGAACTTGGCCTCAAGAACTTCCCGCGGACATGGGAGATCGAGGAATACAAAGACGTTGCAAGTCAGAATTACTGGAACTTGTGCGTTATATTTTAATTTTTTGTTCACGCGGTGTGCATCAGTGCTAAGGACAAAATAGGATTAAAGAACAGAGACAGCAAGCACAAGGGAAGGAAGATGTTGAAATGTCTGATCTTCTCGACAGTTTCGCGCAAAAGGCGCGTGATCACGCAAGGACCCCGATGCAGGTAAGAACAAATGCATCACTTCCTTCCATTATCTCATTTATAGTTATAGTGGAATGCGAGTCCACATGGAGGCTTCACGACCGGAACACCGTGGATGCGCGTGAATGACGATTACCGAGAGTGGAACGCTGAACAACAGATCGGCGATGAAGCCAGTGTGCACGCATTCTGGAAGCGCGCGCTGAAGGTGCGGAAGGCGCACGATACTCTCGTAAGTCGTTCAAGATATGTTTGTCTGCATGCAGTTCGTTTTAACTCAACTCACACTACACTACCGCCTTTCATTTCTATCTGTATTTCCGCATCTACCCCTTCCATTCCTCTAATACTGACGCATGCCCATGCTAAGATCTACGGCGACTTCGTGATGCTTCTTGAAACACATGAACAGGTGTTCGCGTACACGCGGAACTATGGGTCTACGTCTGCGTTGGTGTTGCTTAATTTCAAGGAAGGGAAGGTTGAGGTTGACCTAGGGGAGGTCATCGGAGGAGTAGCAGGGTACACGTTCGTCTTGGGCAACTACGAGAATAAGGCGATCGGACTGGGGGAGAAGGTTACTCTAAAGGACTATGAGGGGCGGGTGTATGTCCGGGAGGCATTGTTGAATTGATTAAATACTAGCTGCATCTAGGGAACGTGTAATACGCATGTTGATATATCGATATCATATCAAGGATCGGACGACTTTGCACCAGGTCAGCAAGAAACGCGCTGACTGCCTTGCCCAACCTAGAACTTGTTCTTCGTTAATGTTTCGATGATGCGCAGATATCCTGTCAACCAATCATTGTTTCTGAATCAATCTAATACAAGCTAATGCGAAAATCGAATCCCACTCTCATTACGATGGCAGCAGCACATCTATATAATTCATGGCAGAATCCAGCCATGTCAAACTACTGCAGGAAATCACAGCGAAAGAGTTCTAATAACCTTCTTCACTGCAATAGTAACCAACACATCAATGTCAACGGTCATACCGCACTGATGTGAAAGCAGAAACACGACTCGCTTCTGTAAGTCTAGTTGCGACTGCAGAATAAGAACTTGGTGCAAAATGCAAGTCCGAGGGCAATGATGAAAATAAGACAGATATATTTGAGAATGAGACTTCGGAGTGAGATAATGGACTGTTGAAACGTTAAAGGAGCACGACCACATAGAAACTGTTACAGCACTCCTTAACTATCGTAAGTCAGTAACGAGTGGCTCGAGTATCTCGTATGTTCTCATGATAAGAGATATTGAACTATAAGTACAAAGGAAAAAGAGTGATTTAGAGGGATGTATCCGCATATCTTGGATACGACGAGTAAAGCCCTTCGCTTCGATGAAACACGAGGACAATTTTTGTGCCTGTCGTGGTTGGCGCGAATATTCTTACACTTGGCATACATTGTTGTACTACCATGCAGGTCAGTCATCGTTATATCTAGGAAGACTACTGATACTCACGCAACTAATCCAAGGGCAGATGCAATCTGCGTCAGTCTTGCAATGCCCGCCAGTGGGACAATCGCCTTCGTCAAGGGGCATGGCAGAGATTGATGATACTAAAGTAGCGACGACAACGAGGACAATTGCAGAGGAGAAACGCATTGTTCGTGACTGATGTGATAGGATCAGATGATTCTGAAGGAAATAGTAGGAGGACGGCTGGCTTTTATGTGCTGAATGTTCTTTGAAATTCTTGCGTACATGGTTGTGCCTTCATGCAGAGGCATATCTGCGATTAATCCAGCCAAATGCCAGCTGAGATGTATTAGCAATTTAGTGTGGAACTACTGCACATTCGTCTTTAGGCCTTTGTGACAAGTATCCACCATGATAAAGCCCGTGATCTGATGAGTATGGATATCCGATGGTATAGATATCCGATACAAGATCAAAATCAGCTAGAAGCATAAACAAAACTGGCTGATTCCATGCTGTCTGGTGCGGGCAAGGGCGTGAGCCGGAATTGGGGGAAGGAGGAGGAGAAACATATTTCCTGTCGTGCATGAGGTCATCAGCATCGTCAAGAGCACCTGCTGTAGCGCACCTCTATACACGGATGGATGAGATTTGAAATTATTACGAGAGAAATGACCCACACGTAAATTATTCTCTGCCAAAAAGAAGACCCAATCAAAGCTCAAACCGTAAGAGTGTGAGTGACAACAAGACGAGACATCCGAGTAAAAGAGATATCTGAAGGGTTGATGGACTATACTATGGTATAGATACTTCGAATTGTGGGACTTGCCTGCCAGTATCTCCTTGATTCAAGTTTGACGGACAGGGATTTTCCTGCGATGTACTTTGAGATTTTTGGTGCGGAAATAGAACGCGAATTTCAGCAAGTGAATAGCGAAGCTAGATGGTAATTGACCAAGCTATATCAACCCTGTAAGCTACAACAACACAATGACACACATCATGACGAGCGGCACGGATGAACGTTTGAACAATGAATCGAGGCGGTAGTAGTAGTATTGGGTTGAGGTGCTGAGCATGGAATCTTCAATATAGATGTACGATGTAACAATGAGGACAGGATCGATGAGAATGGATGAGTGACTCATCTTTGGATTTCTATGATGAAATTGAGTTCAGGCCCGGGAGCGCTCAGCGGGCGTAGCGAAATAAAAGATCCAGGGAGGAACTCCGGCAATAACCGAAAAGCAATCTTGCAGTTAACGCACATACCAGTCTTCCAGATCCCCCAGTCTCTGCTGTATTGACACATGGCTCTTCTTAGTGCCAGCATCAAGTCCACCCGTCAAGCTTTCTGTGCACCAGATTCTGCGAGAGACCGTCAGAGGCTGTTTGGAAGTTTGGTCAACGATTCATCATCAATGTTCTCATCACCTTCAAGTCTTCTCTCGACGGTTGAATTGCTGACCTGTCCATTCAGTTCATACAATGCCACCTGTAATAGATATTCCTCTCCCACAGGTCAATTATCTTGGCGCAATTCTGTGATGGGTGCATCCGGCAACGGCAATACTTCGATCGTCGATCATCCTCCGCCGAAGAAGCATCCAATATCTTACATCGTCGCTTTCAAAGCCATTCTTGTTTTCATTATTGTTCTTCGGTGCAGGGATGACGCGGGCATTTCCCATCGTCATGGACTTGTTGCCAGTGTCTTCAATCTTCTGCCATCACATCTCTAGTATCGTCTATCCTTCTATCACTGGTGCACAAGCTGGGATGGGTAAGGACTGCAAGGGGAACCAAGGCCAGACCTCTAGAGGCTACGGCACTCTATCCAGGACTGACTACGACACAAGCGCAGGACTCTAGCTATTGCGCCAGGACACCTGGCACTCCCGACGACCTGCGCCAGACCACCATGGTACAAAGCTAACTATATACCTCACGCCATCCATCAGATTGGAAAGCGCAGAACATTTGAACGCTGTGTGGCTCCTGGGTTGTATACTTTTCGTCGGTTTGGACGTCCGTATTATAACGTTGCTTTATTGTGGGCTTCCAGACCGACCAAAATGTGTAACAGACACCTCACCATTGCTTTGAGGCTGATTGGTATTTGCGGGGGTGGCATATTTTCGGCATTTGACATCTGTACTTAGTTCACACTGAACTGCATTGCTGTCCGATCTGACTTGAACCACTTAACCACTTCTCTTGCCTCCGTCGAGTTATCGAGTACGTTTGTGACAACTGACGATTGTTGCAGCCATACTCTATCACTTGCAACTTTAATTGACTCACACATATAAAGTATACAGATTGATTAGCTTGTTGTGAAGAACACAGAAGTCTGGCCAGCGCTTAAACCCAGTACTGATTGTCGATGACACGAGGACTTGATAATTTTTTGACTGGTCTTTACCACACACTTGAGCATCATGATCTAATAGATCGAGATGAAAATAAGACAGAGATGTTTGAGAATGAGACTTCGGAGTGAGATAATGGACTTTGGAAACGTTGAGAGGAGTACGACCACATAGAAACTGTTACAGCACTCCTTCACTATCGTAAGTCAGTAACGAGTGGCGGACATTACAGTCTAAGTCTATGGGACCCCCGTTGTCCCTTTTGCATCTCCCGGTGCGCGAATGCCCTGATGTGAGGCGTACCCCCCATCAGGCTGCCATTCCCGCCGGCCGTTTTAGACGCGCCCGTTGATGAGACGACTTTAGTAGTGTTTACAATGATTATAGGGCTAGCATATGTGGCATCTGAACGCGTACTCGTTTGCCAACGGTAACGGGTACAGGAATCGGGAGGGGTGCAAACAGGTAGGTTATGGTGGCCTATGTACTGTTCGGCTGTCATCGGAACTTGTTTGGCTGATACCGCTTCTTTTACAGGTGATTCCATGTAGGTCAGTGGGTTAGGTTTGCTGGTCCGCATTGATTTTCGTACTGCCATGCAGGTGAGTCATATCATTATATCTAGGAAGACTACTGATACTCACGCAAGTAAGCCACCTGCAGATGCAATCTGCGTCAATCCTGCAATATGTGCCAACCTCACAATAGACTTCGTCAAGGGGCACGGCAGAGATTGATGATACTAGAGTAGCGACGACAACGAGGACAATTGCAGATAAACGCATTGTTTGTGACTGATGTAATAGGATCAGATGATTCTGAAGGAAATAGTAGGAAGACGACTGGCTGTTATGTGTTGAATGTTCTTTGAAATTCTTGCGTACATGGTTGTGCCTTCGCACAGAGGCATATCTGCGATTAATCCAGTCAAATGCCAGCAGATCTTGCCAACTGAGATGTGCTGAACATTCATCTTTACTAGGCCTTTGTGAGAAGCATCCATCATGATAAAGCCCGTGATCTGATGAGTATGGATATTTGATACAAGATCGAAATAAGCTAGAAGCAAAAGCAAACCCGGCTGATTCAATGCTACCTGGCGTGGGCAAGGGACGTGAGCCGGGATTGGGGGAAGGAGGAGGAGAAACATATTTCCACGTCGCGTATGAGGTCATTAGCATCGCCAAGAGCACCTGCTGTAGCGTACCTCTATACATGGACGTATGAGATTTGAAATATGACGAGAGAAATGAGACACACATATCAGTTTAAGGCTGTGGTGAAATGAAAAGTCTATGGCGGCAATGTCGATCATTTATTTGCCACTTTAAAAGAAGACCTAATTAATTATCGTTGAGCTCAAACCGAAAGAGTGTGAGTTACAACAGCACAAGAAATCTGAGTAAAAGAGATATCCGACGGGTTGACGGACTATACTATCATCTATGGCATAGATATGTCGAATTGTGGGACCGTCTTGCCTGCCAGTATCTCCTTGATTCAAGTTTGACGGACAGGGATGTTCCTGCGGTAGACTTTGAAAATTTTGGTGCGATCATAGAATGTGAATTTCACCGAGTGGATGACGAGATTAGATCCTAATTGACCAAGCTATATCAACTCTATAAGCTACAACAACACAAATTGCACAATGACACACATCATCATGACGAGCGGCACGGATGAACGATGGATCAAGGGGGTAGCAGTATCGTCGAGGCGCCGAACATGGAGTCTTCAATATATATGGACGATGTAACAATCTCTGAGGACAGGATCGATGAGAATGGGTGAGTGATTCATCTTTGATGAAATTGAGTTCAGGAGCCTGGGACGGGGAGGCACTCCGGCAATAACCGAAAGCAAATAACTGAATCTTACTACAGTCACCGCACATCCCAGATCTCCCAGTCTCTGCTCCATTGCCAACATCATGTCCACTCGTCCTTTCTGTGCACCGGATTCTGCGAGAGACACAGGCTGTTTGGAAGTTTGGTCAACGATTCATCATTCAAAATGAGTTTTCTTTAAGAGAGACACCGGACAAAGTACGTCAATTCATCACCGTACGTGTTGGTTGTTGATGAATGTCTTTTCACCATGCAGTTTCTTTCACAATTGACATGACTCGACAATCACTTTGCACCCTGTTCCATTTCCCCTACCTCCCAACCGCTCTCCCTTGTCGCAGGCCACATTATTTAGGCATTCAGATGTTTTCAGTCTCAAGGCACACCAGCGCTAATGGTCATGTCTTCCGTCAGAATGTCATCAATGTTCTCATCACCTTCAAGCCTTCCCTCGACGGTTGAATTGCTGACTTGTCCATTCAGTTCATACAGTGCTCCTCTCCCGCAGGTCAATTATCTCGGTTTGATATCTCGGCGCAATTCTGTGATGGGTGCATCCGGCACCGGCAATACTTCGATCATCGATCGTCCTCCACCGAAGGAGCACACAATTTCTTACATCGTCGCTTTCAAAGTCGTTCTTGTTCTTCGGTGCAGGGATGACACGGGCGTTTCCTAACGTCATGGACTTGTAGCTGGTGTCTTCGATCTTTGCCATCACATCTCTGGTATCGTTTATCCTTCTATCACTGGTGCACAAGCTAACTATACACCTTACCCCATCTATCAGATTGGAAAGCGCAGAACGTTTGAACGCTATATGCCTACTGAGATGTGTACTTTTCGTCGGTTTGGACGTCCATATTATAACGTTACTTTATTGTGGGCTTCCAGACTGACCAAAATGTGTAACAGACACCTCATCATTGCTTTGAGGCCGATTAGCACTTGCGGGGGTGGCAACTTTTCGGCATTTGACACCTGTGCTCAGTTCACACTGAACTTCGATCTGACTTGAACTACTTGACCAGTCCTCCCGTCTGCGAAAGCCGGGAACAGTTGAGTTATCGATGTGATAGTTGCATCCATAGTCTATCACTCGCAACTTTTATTGGCTCACACATATAACGTATACAGATTGATTAGCTTGATGTGTGGAACGCAGAAGTGACTCTGACCCACCTCCCAGTTTCAAGGAGCCTTCTATTCGGTTCAGTCCGCCGGTCATTGAATCAAATGATGCACCTTATCATGCGACATTTCACGATTTTGACCAGATGGCAAGAAGGGGCAGCTTTTTTCAAAGTCTGACAACGAGAATTTGGACTAGATGGCTAAAAGTGTTAAGAATGTGCAGTGGAAGATAACTCACGTCGGACACATGCGACGAAGTTGGATCATTGGTATTGTGAGTACGACTAGTTCACCTGCAATTTCATGGCTAAACGATCGATACGGCGTGCTCATAGTGGCTATCTATTGGTTATTTTGATGTGTCAACGCAATCTGGAGCTTGACCCAATGTATCTTCTCGCACCCCGAAGTTGTTCTTAGACAGACACCGGTGGAGTGATTATCAGAAGCTGATAAATGCCACCGTGTGTGGGGTTTACATATTCATGCACGGCTGGGCCCGCCGAAGCTAATCATCTAATTCACCCTGGCAGATGCCATGACCTCGTGTTCGGGTCACGCTTATGTATGATATCTCATATTTCATATCACGCATCCTTCTTATACCCTGCTTCAGCCCATCGCATTTACGCTCTAATCCTTGTCCACGATGTCCAAACCACCACATCCCTGGTGGAAATCTGCAATAGTCTATCAGATCTATCCATCATCATTCCTTGACGCGAATGGTGATGGGACTGGCGATCTCGCAGGCATCATCGCCAAACTCGACTATCTCAAGGATCTTGGTGTGGACGTTCTATGGCTTAGCCCGATCTATCGTAGCCCATTGGCCGATATGGGCTATGACATGTGAGCGCTAATCGTTGCTTTTCGGTTCTGGGACTTGATGCTCTAACCACCACAGCTCGGATTATGAGGATATCGATTCGCGCTATGGCACGCTTGAAGACTGGGACCGCCTTCTCGAGGGCGCGCACGCACGGGGAATGAAGCTCATGTATGTGTTATTCGAACCTCAAACTGTTTTCCAGTGTCAACCCGGGTCTTTTTGACAGGATGGATCTGGTGGTGAATCATACATCTGACGAGGCAAGTCTCTTAATCTTCTAGCTTACCTTATGGTTCCTGTTTCTACCAATTACTTACAATGATCGCCAGCACGCCTGGTTCACTGCTTCAAAATCAAGCAAAAACGACCCAAAGCGCGATTGGTACATCTGGCGTCCTGGTAAAGTTGTTGATGGGGAAGAACTTCCGCCAAACAACTGGAAGAGCGTGTTTCAGGGTAGGTGCACCTGTTTTCTTTGGGTTGTAGCGGCCGTCCTACCATTCTCGTCGCTTCGGACCACTGATTGTTTCGTCGTCGATTCATATTTCTGACTGTGCGACAGGTTCCGCCTGGGAACGCGACTCCGCAACTGGGGAGTACTATCTCCACCTGTTCGTATCTAAGCAGCCAGACCTGAACTGGGACAACCCTGTTGTGCGTTCCGCCGTTTGGGACGTCATGCGATTCTGGGTGCGCAGAGGATGTGACGGGTTCCGTGTACGTACATCTCTCCCTTCTACTTCTTTTACAAAGAAACAACGGGCATCACCATAGATGGACGTGATCAATTGCATCTCGAAGACGGATGATCTCCCCGATGCGCCTCTGGTAGACCACACGCAATATTACCAGCCTGCCACCATGTACTACGTGAACGGGTAAGTTTATTCATCTCGACTCGAGAATTACTTGACCTTCCCAGTCCGCAGGTCCACAAATACATGAAACAAATGCACACTGAGGTCCTCTCTCGTGTGCCCCCTCCTTTTCCCCGCTTCTTTGATTAACTAACGGAAGTCTCACAGCCCACGACCTCATCACGGTCGGCGAAACGCCCTTCACACATGAGGCATCCGAGCTCGCCGCGTATGTCCTTCCGCAGAACCGCGAGCTCAACATGGTCTTTCAATTCGAGCTCATGGACATCGACTCTCCCTCCGAATCCCCGCTCCTAAGGAAACCTTGGACGCTCAAGGAGCTCAAGGCAATTGTTGGTCGCTGGCAGCAGTTCATGCACGATGATGGGTTCTGGAATGCGTGAGTTCCGAGTGATATCGGGCCGAAGATGAATCAATGAAATACTGATGGTTTATGTTGTTTGGCGCCATCAAAGGATTTACATTGAGAACCATGACCAGGCGCGGTCGGTGTCGCGCTTTGGGAATGACTCGGCGCAGTGGCGCGCAGTCTCCGCCAAGATGCTCGCTATCTTACAGATCACGCAGGCGGGGACACTATACGTGTACCAGGGGCAGGAACTTGGCCTCAAGAACTTCCCGCGGACATGGGGGATCGAGGAATACAATGACGTGGCGAGTCAGAATTATTGGAATCTGTGCGTTGCATCTTTTTATTCTTTGTCCATATCGTGGGAATAAGTGCTAAGGATATGATAGAATTAAAGAGCAGAGACAGAAAGCGCAAGGGAAGGAAGATGTTGAAATGTCTGATCTTCTCAACAGTTTCGCACAAAAGGCGCGCGATCACGCAAGGACCCCGATGCAGGTAACAACAAATTCATCACTTCCTTTCATTATCTCATTTATAGTTATAGTGGAATGCGAGTCCACATGGAGGCTTCACGACCGGAACACCGTGGATGCGCGTGAATGACGATTACCGAGAGTGGAACGCTGAACAACAGATCGGCGATGAAACCAGCGTGCACGCATTCTGGAAGCGCGCGCTGAAGGTGCGGAAGGCGCACGATACTCTTGTAAGTCGTTCGAGATATGTTCTCCTGCACGCAGTCGTTTTAACTCAACCTACACTACCACCTTTCATTTCTATCTGTATTTCCGCATCTACCCCTTCCATTCCTTTGATACTGACGCGTGCCCACGCCAAGATCTACGGCGACTTCGTGATGCTTCTTGAAACACATGAACAGGTGTTCGCGTACACGCGGAACTATGGGTCTACGTCTGCGTTGGTGTTGCTTAATTTCAAGGAAGGGAAGGTCGAGGTTGACCTTGGGGAGGTCATCGGAGGAGTAGCGGGGTACACGTTCATCTTGAGTAACTACGAGAATGAGGCGATCGGACTTGAGGAAAAGGTTACTCCAAGCGACTATGAGGGACGGGTGTATGTCCGGGAGGCATTGTCGAATTGATCAAAAACGAATCGCATTCAGGGAACGTGTAGGACGCATGTTGATACATCGTATCATAACATTTCAATAAAAGACAGCAAGGCTCTGGCTACTTTGCGCCAGGTCAGCAAGAAAACGTAAGGGGGACAATACATCTATGGTACTGGGGAAGCTAAGACCGGCTGCATGATCGAGAATAAAGCAACATCTGGAATGCCACCTGGGCGTCCACCCTATGAACAGGATTCACGCATGCGTGAATGCGAAGACCGGATATACAAAACATCAGAATGTCAAGGCATTCTGCAAAAAGCACATCGTAAAAATAGCAATCTCGCTTGTAGTTAATCAATAACTGTAAAAAAAACTAGAGGATGAACAGAGTTCATCCTCAGAAGGACCGACGCTGGCGGTGTATCCTCGACACGAGTCCCGTGGGTTCGCGCTTTGCAACAGTGGCAGCGCCACTTGACTTCCTCCGACATTTTTTCGGGGTGGATGATGGGTCGCTGCTACCAGTGGAGGTTGGTGTACTGATAACTTTGATGGAGGTAGGTAAATCATTCTGCGACGTGGCAGGGCTTGATAGAGCTGTCCCTGTCGATGTCGCAGTTGTTTGTGGCAAAGAGGTGCTCAGGACGGTGGTGCTCGAAGGGGCTGAGGAAGGAACACTCGCACCCGATACAAGCTCGGATGCGTTGGCACAAAATGCAATGAGGAGGTCCACCTGTGTCACGACTGATTAGTCGGTTAAACCAATATTTCAAAACCACATACATTGTTAGTTTCACATTGACGTTGGGCATACCAGTCTTCTGGGGCATAGAAAGCTGCGGCGCAGTTGGGACTGTTGCCTTGAAGCAAATTGTAAGCGTAGACATGGATTCCATACCAGACAAGACTCACAATCGGCTCCAAATCCGTCGCATCCGTTGTAATACCTATCTGGTCGTCAGGATGACGACATATGTGGAAATATGCATACTCACGCAAAAGAAGCTTCCACATTGAAACGATGACTGAGCAGAGGTGGTGAGAGTAAATCTATATTCACAAACAAGAAACTCACGGGTCAATGAGTGAGATATCGACGCTGGAACCGCACCCCGGACAGGTCGGGTTGACCAAATTCATCTCGAGCAACGTGCAATCTTCGCCATTAGTGTCACATTGTCCTGTGTAAATAGATGTTTCATTTAATACAATTTGTACACGAGCGCTTTACTTACCGGTCTGTAAGTATCTGATGGACATACAGCTGAGCGAACACCACAAAACAATAAAGGAGTGGAACTCACGCGATTCCGGAAAACATGCTATTGACGACGTAGTCCTGTCCAGTAGATACGTTGCGACCATTTTCAACCAAGCACGGCTAGAGAAAGTGTGAGCTAGTTATTTCCCAGACAGATTGAGGTCCCCCGGTGGAGCTCACGGTTCCGTAACCACATCTGTGATTTGTGTCAGAATTGCGGCGTAATTCCTTCATATGTGACATACTGGTTGATAAACCTTATGGTATGTGTTTCTGACGCACCAGCTCCAATAGCCGAAAAAATAGCAAGAAAGAACGAGAAAAAGAGAGAGAAGGCCATTGAACCTGGCATTGTAAAAGGAGAGGGAGGGAGTAAACGAATGAACGGAGCGGTGGTTAAGTGGTAGAAAAGCAAAATGGTTACTGAGCAGCTGTTTGCATGTGGCTATACAAAATTACTTACGAAAACGCTTCTTTTTCGGTCAGTTGACCGAGTCTACAACGAGGACGCTGAGAACACCTTCATCTCCGCGTTTTCTCTCTCGACGGAGAGCTTGTCCTTGCATTGCATTTTTTAATCGGTTGAAGCGTCTCGTTTTCAGGCAAAAATAGTCGCGGTGTTCATACAGATTGGAACTCTTTACTCGATGGAGCTGCAGCCTTGCGCATCTACCCAACACGGGTCCGAGGATTTTGATCTCCAACTCCGAACGTGATGGCTTCTAGACGGTGTGTATCTGGCTCCTGACTCAAATTCTGCGAGCAGATCGTATCTTATGGTATCGAGAAGGTAGAAGTTCGTCCCAAACTCGTCCACTAGCAGGTGTGTTCCAGTCAGAGTGTGCCAGGCACTGACCAGTACTGACCGTTTCAAAGTCTTTCAGACTTCAAGTACAGCATAACGAACTAATGAACATATTAATAGTGGACTGTACCATGTGTTATATTCACAACATGAATATCCTCACATAAATGTGGCAGTGGGGGTTATATATAGACCTCATAGGAACGATAAATTTTCAAGCCAACCAAGTCGTGCCACGTTGACGTTGGATGTACCGTCTTCTGCTTGAATTATGGTGCAACGGAACATAGCTGTAACCCAAGCCAATGAATAAAACCCCGGGCCCATAAGTGTAAGTGTCAAGGCATGGCCACCTACATTTGGGTGCAAGGAAAGCTGCAACTCTTCATATCGGGCATTGTGGCACGTGGACTCGGAGTCCTGCGTCTCGCTCAAATCACGATGTGCTTTGAAAAGTGCAATCGACATATGACATTGGAATCCAGTTCGCCATGATTTTGCTTGCAACTGCGACTTCCGATTTTCATGTACTTCAGATTGGAGCGAGTTTATGACATTCACACAGCAGGATTAGCTTCCCGAATGACTAGCAGCAAGGAGGTTATTTGGAAAGTACTTTCTGACCTACTGATTATCAGAATGACCACTGCTGATCTGTCAGAGGAACCATTATTTCAGTCTACGGACAGAAATAAGGACTGTTCTCAAGACCCAGAAGTCTCATGCGTTCAAGCCCAATTCAAGCCTCAGCTCTAGGGACGATCTTGAACTCTTTGTCTTCGGGTTTGGTCGTCTGTAAATAACCATCGTTGTCGTTCTGGACACTTACCTTTTTCAGTGACCTGTTGTTTCAAGTATATGCTCTAATCAACACGTTACTCGCAGATAGAGGCTTGCTTCTATGCACATGACCTTCCGAGATCATTTTGACTGCTGTCGATCGGCGTTCATACCCCTTCGCGTGATTCTTCGCTGCCCACAGACCTCAGCACGTTGCCGACCACGTGCCCCACAACGACAGCGAATAGCGACCTACCTAAATCTCGGTTCTAGGCAGGGTTTCAAATCGCAGGTAAAACAAACGAGAATGAAGCCGAGCGCAAGGACACATCAGGACACAGCCTGGAATATAGTATAGTGGTTGAGAAAGGGGTAGATCACGGCCGGTCCGGTGATGAGTACGTATGTATTTGTTCGGTTGTGTAACGCTAATCCGAAAGCTTAAAGGGGTTTGAGTTTCGGACACATACACCCGCGATAGATGGCTGAATAGCTAAAGCGGCACACAACGACACGAAGACAGCTTGAATTGGTATATCAACTCTAACCTAACCTATAGTATCTCGCTTCGCTCATACTTTTGCCTCCGATGTGAAACACCGCCCAGAGCGGAGGTTGCCTTCAGGGGTGATGCATATGCATCCTAAGCGGTCGTTCAAACTTATCTGATGGTAACCGCTACCTAGTACTCGGCGAACATCGACGAACGATTGCGTGTGACATGTGCATATCACCGCCGAGTATCCGCCTCATGTGTACTGTAAATAATCGTCTTTCACGCTGTGGGGTGATATCTTATATGAAGACAGTAGAAGACTGCGAAATAGTAAAAAGTATGCGAGTATTTGAAAACCATAACTAGGTTTCCCCCTCGCGTCTCAATCGTGGTACAGCTGCCTGACCTATGCGTTTTTGATCACGCACAGCTCATCCTTGGTGCTGTGGCTCGTCTTGGGTTGGTAAGAATGATAGCTCGAGCTCACCTGCCCAGCTCAGAGTGGCTTTCCACCCTTCCTGCAATTCCAAGGACCTAATCAGACGGTCTCATTACACCATGATAGGTTAAACAGTATCCTCGCCTACGAGATGATATGCCGTCTAAGTCCTCATGCTTCACTTGAACAGGCACCGAAATCAAGTAGATGTGATACTGTATCCTGATTTTTCCCTTTCACTCCATCAATTCTTGTACCGTTTTGTGTGTTCACGCACCATAAAAGGTGTTGACGCTTTGACCAATAAATTATCTGTATAGCATAACACCCACTTCGCTTGTCACGATCGCATACAATGTATGTAGACGCCTGTGGACTAGCGCTAATTAGAAAGCGCCTTGTCCTCGTAAATCTCCTGCAGAAGATTTCGTAAAGATGTCTAAAAATGCAGGTTAAACCTAATAATCCCGGAGGGACCTGCCAATTACTCACCTGAAGTTTGATTCGTGTCAACGAGCCTGATCTCCCCACCCGTGGTGCGCATCCGTTCAGTAATAGCAGTCGATCCCATTGTCAAACTAGGCTGGACTGTGGCGACTTTCCACGTTCCTGGTCCACCAAACGACGCAGCTTGCGCTTTTTCAAACATGCCGTCAGGCTCGGTTTTCTCGTCTTGATAATTTACAGAGCCGGCCCATACGGTCGCAAACACGACACCGATGACAGCAACCATGGTGTTGACGAGCACGATCTCGTTGACTGTGAGGACGTATACGTTTTTGTACACAACAACCAGCTGTGCGAGGGACAAGAGAGAAGGAAAGACGAAGTTAGAGACCGATATGTAGAAAAGAGTGCGCATGCGTTGCCCAAACGTCGCTAGGTATCAGTGTTAACGCAAACTTGATCCCTACAAAAATTGGCGACATACTTCTTCGTGGGCTGATTTCACTCTCAACACTTGATCTATAATTCCTTCGAAGACGGATTGCCCAGAGGAAGGCTATGGAGGCATAGCTGCAATCTTTCAACCAGCTGACCTACTCTCAAGGCTGAAACACCCACGCATTATCGACAAGCTGAGCTGACCACTCAATCTTGAGGTAGGGTGTAGTGGCCCACACCACTGCAATGTTTTCGCTTCCCGATGGGCCACGCGCAGCATCCGCAAGAACTTTAATGAACATGAACATGTTGACGAGGCGCGCAATTTTCAAGAGTACAGGAAGTGTGGTGATGAGGGCGAAACGTTTCGGACCCACAATGGTGTAGGGGTATATCAGTGCAAGACGTAGCAGAAGGATAAGGTCAACAAGGATCGATTGAAATGCGCCTATAATTCCAATAGCGATGTTAACCTGGATGATAATGTAAGAAGCGGCAGTGAAAGAGAAAAAAAGTCGCACCGATGGCGGCCATGAGTCCAATGGGGACAGCATTGAATGAATCTGTGATCGAATCAATGTTATGCATATGTAAGAGACAATAATGATACTGACCGCAAGACTGTCGATCATGACCCCAGCAGTGAATGCCAGCATGATGGCTATGACATTGAGAATGAATATGGGCCTTCTTCGTGAAAGTGGAGTGGAGAAATAAAAGAGCGCAAAAATCAGGGGAATCAGAATAACAGTGAAGGTGTGTCCAATCATGATCGAGTTCAGAGATGGCTGTATTATTGCAATATAATTGGTCCCAGGCGGAGGCGACGGAGGCACTATGACAGCTGGGGAAGTTGTGGTTGTATTGCTTGACATGATAGACGTCTGACTGTGACATCTGGTGAGTCCCTTCGCTTATAAGGGGACCCAGGCACCAAGGACACTGCCAGACTAAATCGAGTGACATATCAAAAAGATTTTGTAAGTGGGAACTTGGAAAAAAGTTAATCTCGCGCCGAGAGCATATGCCCGCGGCCGGCTGCGAGGGCAAGCCTGGGCAAGCAATCCAAAACTGTTGTTTGTATCCTTAAGGAATTTTTGATGGAAGAGCGGAGCCCGCCCATGACGACTGCAGAATTCAAATAGTCTCAAATCCTCGTACATCGCATAAATCGCACAAGAGAGTTGCAGCATGCAAAACTAGTACGCCGTTCCCAGGTTGTAAACCTCGCTAGAGGATGAGCAGAAAAGTAACACCATGGTGAAAGACTTACTGATACCTGGACACGACCAGCCAGCCTTCAAAAGGTAGAACCATTATATAAAGTTCGTGTTAACTCGGAGTTCGTGTGATCGTGAAGAAAGAAGCTCGTGAATGTCTCCACGAAGCTGAATCTGAGCGATCTGAGGCGGGGAACTCGTCACCTGAAGAATCCCACCGTTTACTACTATGTAAACTTGAATGCCGCTCCAATGCGATGACAATCGAGCCTCACTGCACGTTTTATCGTCCAGTGGTCACTATTTATTGAGGTAGGGTCTGCCAGACAGATTGGTGTTATATCTGCAGCATTCGTGGTGCATTGATGGCTGTACTGCAATGGTATTGGATATCAAATTTTACATGTGTTTGTGTTTTAGTACTAAATATTAAATATTAAAGTCCATATATACATACATTCTTCATTTGGAGATAAATTTCAAATTTTCGTGGTTTTATGTAACTATCGCCTCGCAGTTTGACAATGAATTTTTACATTTTTGCATTAGTTTGTGTTCCGCATATCATCCTCCAGCCAATCTGGCAATGTCTCGGGAGAAAAAATCATCTGGTTAGCGCCAAGCGCTCCAGCCCCGCGTGGGGACTTGAGCCTGATCAGCTGCAGGCCCGGTGGTGCTATTATGTACTAAGTTGGTCCCTCAATCTTAGTATCATATACTAACACTCTACGGTATTAAGTATTACCTTGAGCATCCCAAGGCTCAGAGATCCCAAACGTGAGTTATTTCCGCGGTTTTATACTAGGGAATAACTAGTAGGCCACCTGCAAGGTAGACATGAGTTTTATTCCTACGCAAACACTGATCGCCACCCACGCAAAGAAAAGATGTCGGATTCCGAGTCGTCGCCTATCCCGACCACGATGCGACAGCGCGTCATCGACTACATAACCCAACTCCAGAACGACATCGTCAGTGCTCTTGAGGATGCCTCGGTCTCTCCGTGTCATTTCAAACGCGATGCCTGGTCACGTCCGCAAGGCGGTGGTGGCATCTCGCGCACATATGCCTCTTCCAGAGATGATGCCACCTACGAAAAAGCCGGCGTCAATATCTCCATGATCCACGGCACACTCCCCCCAGCTGCGATCAAGCAAATGAGCAGCGAACATTCATCCCTGGATGTCAATACTACGACTGCCCTTCCCTTCTTTGCTGGCGGCATCAGCTTAATCGTACATCCGCGCAATCCGAATGCACCAAGTGCGCACGCAAACTACAGGTACTTTGAGGTAATGGATTCCACAGAGAAGGATGCAAAGGTTGTTGGGTGGTGGTTCGGTGGTATCACAGATCTCACGCCATCATACCTGTTCGAGGAGGATGCGAGGGAGTTCCATGAGACGCTGAAGGCGGTTTGCGACGCCTATGGGACAGCCCTGTATCCCAAGTTCAAGCAGTCTTGCGACGACCATTTCTTCATTCCCCATCGCAAGGAGTATCGTGGTATTGGAGGGATTAGATTTGATGATCTAAACGACGAGATGAACGCTATTCTAGGCTCCGTAGACGGGGAAGCCCGCCCCCGCACAGCAGATGTCATATTCGCCTTCGTACGTGCTCTCGGAGATGTATTCACCACCTCCTATATGGGTATCCTCAATCGCCGGAAAATCATGCCTTCAGATGAACGCATGCGCCGTTGGCAGCTTCTCCGACGTGGGCGATATGTTGAATTTAACCTCGTTTGTGAGAGGGGAATTAAATTTGGATTAGCTGCACCCGGAGTCAATGTGGAGAACGTGCTGATGGGAATGCCAGAAATGGCAAGATGGGAGTATATGTCAGATATGTTCGAAGAAAGTGGTTCGGCCGAAGGAAAGATGATGGAGGTGCTCAGGTCCCCGAAGTCTTGGGTCCGGGATTGCTAGGTCGGTCTTGCTGTGCGTTTCTGATGGACTCTTCACGTGGATACTTAGTTATCTGTTGCAGCTTGATAAATCTCGAAAGTGTCGCGTTAAGTGCTAAGTACTAAGTACTCGATCTGATCGTAGTCGGAAATACACCCTGGCAGACTGGCTGCTGATATTCTTTTATGTGCCGATAAAGTCGAATTCCGATGAGAAGCACTAGAATCAACGTAAAGCACCCTAGGGACACTGGCGGATTCTCTGGAAGAAAGCCGAACTTTATCTTCCAGCGCTCATGATTCTAGTAGTCTCATGGATCAGTGAGAAGGGAATGCCTTCTCACACATTCATTTCTCAGGCAAGACGGTTCGTCCAAAAGACCATGATTCTGATATGAATCTAGTTCTGATTCAGAATTTTGTTTCGAGGCAGGTTTTCGCCTGATCCATTTTCATCGGACCACAGTAATCGACAACGTTCCGATGGGTAAGCGGCCTGATAGTCGCTTATATAATGAACACGGCAAGTGGTGGACCCGGCTCTACCCTGTGCAAGGTGGCAAGTCAGCGATATTGACTTGACTTCGCTTGGCGTACAGATTTCACAATAGGCTGTGACAGAGGAACTTTATAACTGGAGGATGAGCACTTCACTTTCAAGTTTCAAATAATCCAGCCCCCCCCCCCCCTACTTGTAGCATTCTAGAGTTCTCTGACAGCACTCTTCTTAAGCGATTTAAACTTCTCTGGTGCGTTGGGTACATGTTTCCAAAGAGTGACTCGATAATTGATGCTGATCAGCAGCATAGCTTATATCGATCATTCTCGCAAGCTCATTAACAGCTTCTGTCCTTTGACGATCCACTGTCTGATACATGCCTATTGACGTGGATCCCGAAACCTTATTTCGAGTCGAACAAAGTGGCCAACCAGTTGTTGTGTACGAGTGCAAATTACAGAGGGCCCTCTGTGGCATGTCTGTGGAAGGAACAACCCGTGCAATTTCTGCTCACATCCGACTGCACGATAACACTGGTCCGGACAGTGCCAGTACAATTTGCTCATGGGGCGGCTGTTCCAAAGTGCTCAAGAAGGGGAGCATGGCCAGGCACATCCTCACTCATCTCGGAGTAAAGGTTTGCTGCTCCGTGTGTGGAGTTGTGAAGTGCCGTCATTATGTCCTCCGTGCACATATCAGATCCTCGGAATTGTGCCAATTAGCGTCCGCTGAGATCGTTCACGGACCTGAAGGACATCTTCTTGTCCCCACGAGTTGGGCTGCTGTCCATGGATATTAACATTTCCAGCATATGCCCGTCGTCCGTTTTGTGACATTTTTATTCATTTATATTGGAAATGTAGGCTCTCGAATAATGGGCGGCGGTGAAAGTTTATGCTTACGAGTATACGTTCATGGTGGGATTGAGGGTGTGACGGGGTGTTTGGAATGAAGGTTAGCTGCTGAGCGGTTAATGTTATGGAGATAGAGTCTGAAAGAGTACTAGTATAACAAATGTCATAGATATTCCTACTTTGTTTCAAGGTATCGCCTGTCCAACAACAGGGCGCAATTGCTGTAAACGACGACCGATATTTTTGCTGCAAAATTTCACCGGAGATCTGCACATCTGCTGTGTTACTTGAAAGAGGTTCCCACCAGTGTTTGCGTAGATATATAGCTAATGTCCTCGGGTTTAAGTTATCGCCCAGTCAGAATATCAGTAAGTGCCTCGGTTAACGCAAAGTGTTCGAGCCTAGCGACCGACTCCATCGATATGTGATGACTCATAAGACGCCTCTATCGGTGATTCGCAAGGCAACCGTAAAGTGATTCGCGATAGAGCAACGTGCTGTGAGGATTGTGGACAAACAAGCCGCCAGTGACACCGTGATACGCAGAACAAGCACAACAATTCCCCAACGTTGCAAAAGTCATTGATTGTTAAGAGGTAGGTGAGTATATATGAGGCTGAAAGCACAAGGGGCAGGAGGAAGCGTGCGGTGCGACGTGCCTAAAGTCGAGCACAATACGATTTTATGACTTTGACTAGCTCTGTTCAACCTTGGATAGGAATGTTGTGATCTCGTCGTCTCCTTCGGAGTCGCCATATTGGAAGAGCAATGAAAGCACGTCGGACGAAATCATTTTCTCAGAAGACGATGGAGGAATATGCACACGAGATTCCAGACTCTCATCTTCCCAACAAAAGGCAGATAATACGTATGGTAGGTCCTGTAATCTCGGCAGCGGTTCATCCCGGCTACTAGGGGTTGGCGAGCCATGGGATGGTGACGCAGGTGACTTGAGAGAGGAGGGGACCGATCCCATGTCTATTGGATGAAGCAGCTTGGATTCATGTTGTTTACGGATAACGGACTTAGGAAGTGGGATATGTTTGGACTTGGGGAGCTGGAATAATGCTCGCGCATCTCGGAATGCTGGATGCCACATCTCGACGTGCTTGAACTGGAATACCTGGTGTTAATCATTGAAGAGTTGGATAAAAAATATAGGTGACCTTGTCCTCTAGTTGCAGTAATTTATCTTGAATATGTTGTTCAGACCGACCCTTTTGCTTTTTCCGCGCAATGTATAATATCACTGCGTCCCGGACTGTCTTGACGTCTGTTCCAGAATTGGCCAGGACTGTGAAGACCTATGGCTTATGAGGGTGTTTTCAATTATCCAGGGTGACGAATACGCACTTCCATCATTGTATCCCCTTTGAAGAAGCCGGCTGAGTCCATCCTTCGGTCCTAAATACGTTACTAGCCTCTTCGATGGATTGAGATGGTGCAAAATTTGAGTTGACCGTTTACCAGTACATGATAGAGGTAAACGCTACATAGGTAAGTGGGGAAATTATATATCAAGCTTACAAGATATACATACATCTTTGCATACCCAACTCTGAGCCTGGCGTGTGTCACAGTGTTCCTGAGTAGCTGATCGCATCAAGAACCATAAAGCCACGGCCCACGGATCTAAGTATCCCCTGACCAAAAGAGGTCCTTTGTTGCGAATTTGTATGTGTAACGCACGTTCGTCAGTCAGGGGGACGCCCGGTTTTATTCGCTGCGGGGGGATGGAAGTGTTCACTCGAGGGCGAGACCGAACACTAAATGATGAGTATTCTTTGCTTCCCTGCACCGCAGAACGTAGGAGCAATTTGAAATATTAATACAGCTGATAAATTTAGTAACAATGAAACCCGAGGCCTGGAAGTCCAAGCTGGGCAAATTCAACTACGTACTGTTTGATATAAGGATCGTAACATTCCGTGTGACGCGGGGGAGCGATACGGTTATTAGGGAACAAGGCATATCTGTACGATTAGTCGAAGGTGAATTAGAACCCCGCAAAACGCAGTGATGTCACAAATCGATTATCGAAACCGATTGACTGTACACGCAGTCAAGTTGCATTCGCAGCTCCGCGAACAAGGAATTCCAGATCGCGACGTCTTCGCGCTGCTGAATAAGGATGAAGAGTGAGGCTGATAAGAGTATATGATGATGAGGCTCTGGGACACGTAGAAGTACATCGTATGGTTTCGAAAGGAAGAGAGATGGGAGATATAGATTTCACGCGCAGCGGGATAAGTTAAAGAGGCCGTCGATGCCACACACCCCATGCTAATTCTGCGGGTTACCTGATGGCAGGATGAACACGTGGTCGTCGGGCTCTGAGTCTTCACTATACTCGGAGAGTGAGGACAATGCTGCATCGCGGCGGGATGAATGAGCATGAGATATCCAAAGTCGTCCTCACTGTAACCCGATGCATAGCACTCAGTGAGTAAAATGACAACTGCTGTCAGCAGCTCTTCCCCCTCTCAGCGGGCCTCAGAATTGCCCTTGAGGTCATCCAGGAACATACACATCTTGCAGTAGCTTCTGACCCCACTCAACTTCGTAGAAAATGATTGCTGTGTAGACTCCGAGCGACCTGGAGGGCAGCCCGGCGACCAGTGGTTGAAACACCATGATTGATCGTTGGATTTGACTTTGAACGGTAGACTGAAACCGCGGCATTGCGTCAAGTGTTTCCACAGAATTCTACCGACGAACTTACGACGATGTCCTTGCCAGTGAATGTACGAGAGTAAGGGATGCTGCTTTTCACTTGGGTACCGCGAGGCACCTTGTCGGACAGCCAACTTGAAATACGATAGCAAGCTGAAGTTAACAAATCTGTCTGGATCTAGATCATCACTCTCGGAGTAAAAGTAATCATCGTTTTCTTCTTCCTGGTAGCGAAGTGGAGGTCCAGTAGACTGATGATGGAACTCAGTATATTATCTAGCCAGGGAGAGAGAACTAAGGATGTTCGAAAAACCAACTTTCGTGATGCCTTAACTCCTGCGCCGCGGTCACGTGGTGTGGCTGTGTGACGGATGGACGTGGTCCAGGCCGATCACTGACTAAAAGCCGAGCTACTAAAGCCCCCGGGTGCCACGTCCATTATGAAAGAATCATCTATAGAAATAACCACGAGCTCTCCTATCGTACTGCAGTATATCTCTGAAAGCTCATTGCTTCTCACCGCCGTCATAGGCTGCTTGGCTTGGTTAGTGCATTGTAGCTGCAGCACTCACTGCAGTCACCGCTCGAGACACTATTACTCTTAAGCTCAACGTCAGATGTACAAATTCAACTGCATTGTCTTGGGCCACTGGCGCCGCTGTATATATTTCAATGGCCATTTTATTCATTCATAGCATCGTTGTATCACCAAAAGTCTTATTTACTTAATACTAGTGGGAGAATGGCGACATAGATTAGTATCTGTTGTATTAAGTACTTAACCAAATCGATTATTACCGATGCGCGTGCCATCGGTGTATCTGAGTGAAATTATACCCATGCATGACCTCTCTGATCTCAGCAGTCGATCCTCGTATCGCGTATGTACTCTTGTTAACTCTCCTTCTATTCAGTACCTCCTTCGGGTCCGCCGCCGCCTCTCCACGCTCTCATGTGGACACCTGCGACTCCTGTTAACAGAAGGAACAACCTGCACCCAATACCGACCCTTCTTGGCTGAGCCCATCCTTCGGTCCTAAATACGTTACTAGCATCTTCAATGGATTGAGATGGTGCAAAATTTGAGTCGACCGTTAACCAGTACACAATAGAGGTAGACGCTATATAGGTAAGTGGGGAAATTATATATCAAGCTTGCAAGATATACGTACATCTTTGCATACCCAACTCTGAGCCTGGCATGTGTCACAGTGTCCCTGAGTAGCTGATCGCATCATGGACCATAAAGCCACGGCCCACGGAGCCCTCTGACCGAAAAGAGGTCCTTTGTTGCGAATTTGTACGTGTAACGCACGTTCGTCAGTCAGGGGAACGCCCGGTTTTGTTCGCTGCAGGGGGGTGGAAGTTTTCACTCGAGGGCGAGACCGAACACTAAACGATGAGTATTCTTTGCTTCCCTGCACAGAACGTGGAGCAATTTGAAATATTAATATAAATTAGTAACAATGAAACCCGAGGACTGGAAGTCCAAGTTGGGCAAATTCAACTACGTACTGTTTTATATAAAGATCGTAACGTTCCGTGTAACGCAGGGGAGAAATATGGTTATTGGGGATAAGGCATATCTGTACGATTAGTCGAAGGTGAATTAGAACCCCGCAAAACGAGTCTAAAGCAGTGTTGTCACAAATCGATTATCGAAATCGATTGACTGTACATGCAATCAAGTTACGTTCGCGGAGCAGCTCCGCGAACAAGGAATTCCAGATCGCGACGTCTTCGCGCCGCTGAATAAGGATGAAGAATGGGGCTGATAAGAGTAAATGATGAGGCTCTGGGACACGTAGAAGTAGTACATCGTATGGTTTCGAAAGGAAGAGAGATACGGGAGATATGGATTTCATGCGCAGCAGGATAAGTTGAAGAGGCCGTCGATGCCACACACCCCGTGCTAATTCTGCGGGTTACCTGATGGCAGGATGAACACTTGTTCGTCGGGCTCTGAGTCGTCACTATACTCGGAGAGTGAGGACAATGCTGTGTCGCGGCGGGATCGATGATCATGAGATGAGGAGTGATATCCTGATTCATCTTGTTTGCTTGTACTATCCCAGCTTAGAGGTGGCGGCGAGTTGGCAGTCGGCATCACCGATGCAATAGACGGCACTGATGAAGGACGTGTTGATCCTGAAGACAACGTGTAAGTGGATGCCGAAGACGGCGTGTAAGTGGATGCTGAAGACGACGAGTACATGGATGCTGAAGACGACGAGTACATGGATGCTGAAGACGACGAATACATGGATGCTGAAGATGATGTGTAAGTTGATGCGGAAGAAGCAACTGGACTCGATAGTGCCATCGAAGACGACTCCCGCTCCAACTGGCGACGCTCCTCGTTTTCACGCTCGAAAACAATGGACATGGGGATGGGGATGTGATCAGATTTGCGAAGCTGGAATAACGCTCGAGCGTCTCTCCAAGCAGGATGTAATGCCTCTATGTGCATGAACTAACACTCGTTGTCAACGTCTGTCAACACCCCGAGCACAAGACAGACAAACCTTGACCTCTAATTTTTCTAATTTTTCGTGTATGTATTGTTCAGAATAACCCTTTTTCTTTTTGGCCACAATGTACATGATCACTGCCTGTCGGACAGCGTTGGTATCTTGGCCGGAGGTGGCGATGGCTGTAATGACCTTCTAACCATGAGAGAGATTTCATTTGCATATGCCTATAGAAACTCACCTCCATGCTTGTACTCATATTGAAGAAGCCACTTGGAGCCATGCTTTGAGAATGTACCCTTGGGGACTATGTGTGTGGGTTGAGGGGGTTAAAGTGCTCGAAGCATGGACGTGCGGACCCAATGTAATAAGCGCCAATGAGAGGCTTTTTTTTAGTCAAAACCTAGAGGCTGTCCTTGGTCAGGCCTGTACGAGAGTCTGGCTCAGTCAACTGAGCAGAAAGAAAGCAGCATTCCTGAAACACTACATTCGACAGGGCCGCAAGACTCGGATACATTTAGATCACGGCGGGTCTCGGTCTAGGTCAATGACAACAAAGTCACAGCATACCCACAGCATGATGACATTGACTATCGAGTCACGTTCCTCGAGGTGTGAGAAGACCGATTCTGCCCTGCAGACAGAAAGAAAAGCATCACGGCCCTGCACCTAAGTACAGTAAGAGCCTTGTCCTTTAAAATAATTATATGACAGCGCATCCAATCTTGGCGTGAAGCTCGACCATCTGAAAACTTAGTTTCACGTTCAATGTGCAAAGATCATATTGCGGGACTTGTAGCCTGACGGCAGCTGCAACTGTGCCGCAGCAAGTCAACGCAGACAGCCGGGTCTCTTGCAACATCGGTATGAATCGGTAACACGTCGAAACTCGTCCTGTGTTTACAACCTCCGTGTATAACGCAATCACGTCGCAGACTCGGATCTGGAGGGCGAATCACGATAACTTGGGCTCAAATATGATGGAAAATGACGCACGGAACAAGATTAATTGAGTGGTCCTATAGCATTGTGCCACGGTAGTAGGACGTGGTGACGGTAGGCTGTCATTTGAAACGCAGTGCTGTTGTAACCGAAAACTTCCTGTGTGTGGAAAAGCGCCGCATGGCTATACACCTAACAAAAATCCAAGGACATCCGGAACTTCTGCAGAAAGGTCAAGTCAAAGCTGTGGAAGTGAACCAGACAACGCTATCTCGTGATTATGTAATCACATGTATTTCATTTTTAGCCCGATCGGATCTAGCAGAGCTTGTTCATCTATCTTCCCCGCACAGTTACCATGTTCATCCGCCCTCTCCGCCGCCTTCTC